CTTATTTTCATTATAAGTAGTATTTGAGGATATCCATTTTTATTAAATAATAGTTAAGTAACCGTCGGTTTTTTTCAAAATTTACAGACTCTCCAAGACTACCTCTATGGAGAGTAAGTAAAGTAGTGGATTGAAATGGCAAGCATTTGTTTTTTCAATCAACAATCCAACAGTAAATATGAGTTTGAAGAGGCATGACTTGGCTTGATTGTCACATTTGACCTGTGACACAATGTCACCCGTGGCGGCGGAGTGGAGTGGAGGGCTACCGTCACCTCGATACTAACGACCTGGTAGCGACCATTGTTAGTCATTATATAACACATTTTAAGTGCACTAGTCCGACGGTTTATCCTATTAGGCAAGCTCTACTACTGAATAGTTTAGTCAGTAATGAGTTTTTGCTTGGTTTTGTCCAGCTAGATCCTGTTTCGATTGGCACTGTGCTGTCAAAATAGCCACAGAAGTCAGTTGCATATCGATTTTGATGGCAAACTTAAGTTCGCCAATAGAATATATGAAGACCAAAATGTTGTGGTCTCTGTTGTGGTCGCAGTCTGCAATAGTAGTTGTCATGAGTCCCAACATCAGACAATGGATTTGATACATTCTCAAACGCTTCGCTGACTTGTCTCGTTGACAACTTCGTAGCTTGGTGCGAAGAATGGCAAAACTGACTGATGATGCCGACTACAATGCCAGCGAAACGTTTGAGAATGTATCAAGTCCACTCACTGTCAGATGCTGGGAATCATGACAACTACAATGGCAGACGACTTCGGACTAGGTGCCTTCTACATAGTCTCCCTGACAACAGGATTAAGTTGCGACAACGAGGTTAACCCACGTTTACCAGCAGATGTTCTCTTTCTATCGTCCGATCGTCAACTGACTTTATAATATCGTAAGAGTATGAAGAATTGCTAAACTGAGTACAAATAAATCGTGATCTCTTATGCATTACGCCACCTCTATTAGTTACAATAATCCTGATTAGGGTACCTTGTGTATGAATTTTGGGCAGACCACACGCGCTTGGAGGTCTAGCCTCTTGCTGGAGAGTAGTTCATCTTCCATTTTCGAGTTCTCCATTGTCTACACGTTGCTGCATAATGGACTAAAACACAAGGTTTTGCGGGTTACGTGGACTTCAAATCAAAGCGTAAGATTGGGGAGTATATGAAAATAAACACGACGACCAACGTCCTGAATAGAAGGAACGAGTGTAGAAAACCGAGTGGTAACTTTTTGTGGCTGTTGTATAGACTTAAGAAGAGAGTAAGAGAGGGTGAGCAGGAAGAACCACCGAATAAGAGAAAGAGGCTGAATTAGCTTCGAGTCTAGCTATAACATTCACACATTCTATGCTGTGAACATTACATACACACAATAGACGGTAGCATAAGAACAAGCATGATTCAACATTAGAGGATCGTAGATCAGCTGATTTGTGTAAAGAAACGCAGAACGCAATTCCGTTTTGGGAAGTAAATTCACTCATTTTCACGCATGTAGAGCATTAAGGTTGATGAACTTGTTTTTGCAACTTGGCGAAACGTTTGAGAATGTACCAAGTCCACTGTCTGATGTTGGGAATCATGACAACTACTGTGACAGACGACTTCGGACTAGGTGCCTTCTACATAGTCGCCCTGACAACAAGACCAAGTTGCGACGACGAGATCAACCCACTTCTTAAGCTCGCCAAGTTAAGCTAATTGCTACGAACATGGCCCCGAAATGATGTGAGTCGAGGAATGACTTCGCTTTCGGTTGAACAAGAGATCGGTCGGCAAATTTGGGTCTGAATGAAAGCAAGTGGTATCTGCGACCTTATGACATCGCGACTACCAAGTCCTGTTCATGTCGCGGGAAAGAGACGATATTTCTTTTATAGTCCCGCTTGGTCGAAAATGTTTTTCTGCTGTTGGAGCCAAATTGCAAGTTGGCTATTGAATGAACATTTTTCAGTTTATTGAATAGTCTTGCCCTTTTCTTCTCTTTTTTTCCAGGCGACCAAGGCGACCTGGCTCCGCATGGCCACTTCAGCAAAGGAATGAAGGGCTTGGTTGGCGAAAAGGGAGCACCGGGCCTGCCTGGAGACCGCGGCGCCAGCGGAATCCCCGGCTCGATGGGCCAAGTCGGCAGAAAAGGCAGGTCGCTCCTTCCCATCCCTCATCTCTCCTCACCTTCGCTCCTCCGGGGCATGGTTGTTTGTCCCTTTTCACAGCCTCCCTTCATCACAGCCCCTCCCCGACGCAACGGGCCTAGCAGAGCTGAAGTTCCCGCGCTAGAATGAACCGTCTGTACCAGATTATGCCTCGGGAGGCTGGCCATTTTGGGCATCGAAGATGTGCCATCCACATTCAGTCACCTTGACGCCTGGACCGATTCACTCCCAACCACAATCGGGATTTCTTTGGGCATCTGCCGCCGGTGGCCTTAAGCCAAATCACATTTACTAGCTAAAAAAACCTTTGAGCAGTGAATTACTGGATTAATATTCGTGTCTCAATCCGTCTTTAACTCAATAAAAACTCTATTCAAGTCAATATAAGTCAATTTAAGTCAATTTAAGCCAATTTAAGTCAATCACATTGACTATTTAAAACCATTTTTGAGCTGTGAATTACTGGATTACTATTCGTGTCTCAATCCGTCTTTAACTCAATTAAAGTCAATTTAATTCAATTTAAGTCAACTTAAGTCAACTTAAGTCAATTTAAGCCAATTTAAGTCCAGAACATTGACTAGCCAAAACCACCTCTGAGCTGTGCATTAC